TTTGTTGGGTTTGGGGGGGGGGGGGATGTGCAGATCTGTCCTCACAGAGGAGGGAGAGCTTGTACCTGAATAAAACTTGGTCTTAAAGGTGCCACTGGACTGTTTTGGATTGCTAGCTATGGGGGGGGGGACGTGCAGATCTGCCCTCACAGAGGAGGGGGAGCTTGTACCTGAAGGTGGGCTGGGCAGGGGCTCTGCAACTTACCTGGCTGCTTCTTGCTCCTCGTGGCCCGACTAAGGGGCTTAGAAACTCAGTCTAATCTCTCTCTCTTGGATGGATGGATAGATGGACAGATAGATAGATGATGGATGGATGGATACACAGGCTAAACTTTGTCTTATTCACACAGAATAGACTCAAACTCCCATAGTCACACAGACTATGCTCTCTCCAAACTTCACACTCAGAATCTCCTCACAGACACGCTCTCCTCCCACACTCCCAGTCATCAGCCAATCACATCACACTTCTCTCCCTGTCCACAGCCCGCCCAGCAGAGGAGTGGAAAATTCGAAGAGCTCGGTTGCCAAGGTGCAGAAAGCCTAGGAAGGCCACCGGTGTACGTGGAAACACCACCAACGTCCAGTACAAAGTGAACCCCACAGGAGGTGCGGGTTCAGGTCCCGCTAAGGGGGATGCCAGCAAGAATACAAAGCTTGCCTTTTAATGCCTGGAAGGCCCAGAAAAGAGTCCCAGATGGGATCAAATGTGATGAATCCTTCATGCTGATTGGATGGCCAGAATGCCAAGCATTGTGTCTGGTCCCCCCCTCCCCGATGTAGAGATGCCAGTGTCAAGGAAGAGCCTGCAGAATTACAACCAATCTCCAGATTACAGAGATAGGTTTGTGTTCACAAAATGGCTGCTTTGGAGGGTGGACTCTATGCCATTATACCCTGCCCTCCCCAGACTCCAATTTCCAGGAAATTCCCAACTATTGCCCCCCAAGCATCACTGCCACAGATATAAGAACATAAGGGAAGCCATGTTGGATCAGACCAATGGCCCATCCAGTCCAACACTCCATGTCACACCTGCCCAAACCCCAGGTGCCCTCAGGAGGTCCACCAGCGGGGCCAGAACCCCAAAGGTTCCCCAACTCTTGCATCCCCCAGGCAGCAAGAATATAGAGCATCACTGTCCCAGACATAACATAAGAGAAGCCATGTTGGATCAGGCCAGTGGCCCATGCAGCCCAACACGCTGTGTCACACAGTGCCCAAAAACCACAGGTGCCCTCAGAAGATCCCACCAGCGGAGCCAGAACCCCAGAAGCCCCCCCCCACTGTGGCCTCCCAGCATGATCCTCAGACTAAGGCTAAAGAATGAGCAGCCTGTGGCCCTCAAGAAGGCCTCTGAGGCCTGGTGTAAAGCCTACAAGAGGCTTGCATTTCCCAGGCACCCTCTGAGCCCTGTGATTGGGGCTAGGGTGAAACTGGAGGGAAAGGGAAGGCCAATCCCCACCCAGGAGGCGGGGCCTTGGGAGAAAGGCTATATAAGCCCCCCCACTTAAGAGGGAGGGAGGAGGCCTCCTCCCCCCCTCCCCCTCAGAAGCTGAGTCAGTCAGTCATGGGGGGGCCTGCAAGCCAGCAGCAGAGGGACACACACCCCCGGTCATGATCTGGGCTCTGCCACCAGAGGCCTACTAGGCCCAGGGAGCCTGGCTAGCAGTAGGTGAGGCTGGGCCTACAACTCCCAGAAGCCCCTGAGAGGTTTTGGAGCCAAAATTGACCAATAGGGAAGAAGAGGGCTGGAAAACAAAAGGGCTGGTGCCAGAGCAAAGACTGTTCTTTCTTCTAAGAGGGCAGAGCCAGAAGGAAGGCTGCTGCAGGAAGAAACCCTCATCCTGAGGGAAGGGTGAGTAGTCTAGTGTCACTTGGAATAATGAGCTAGGGACAGTATATATTTAGACATGTTAGGGCATTTGATTTCTTTTCTTTTCACCCACTTACTGTTATTATTCTGCACCTTGTTGTTTGACCTCCTATAAAATAAACCTTTTCCTTGTTTCACTCTGCCTGGTCCTCACGCCTGTTATTCGGCCAAAAGGGAGGTCTGAAGGTCTTGGGAGGGTGCTCTGGGCCTTCTCAAGGGATCCTGGAACCAGAGTGGTGGCAGCATCAGGTGACACCCCACCTAAGCTGTGACACCCTCCATCAATCCATCCAAGGAGGGGGTGAGCTGGAGCCAGGGAGGGTCAGGGACAGCACAGATGGGGGGGGGGGGGGTGCTGTGTCAGGGAGTTTTATTGTCGCCTTGCTGGCTCCTTCCTGTGTTCATTTTGCCCTCTTGGCTGAAAACGTCTCCCTGTTCAGGGTGTTCCTTGTTTCTTCTCCTCTGTTGTTTAATTGAAGCTTTAATTTGCCTGGGTCACCTGTCCGTGCCCTCAGTGTGCAGATAGTTTTGTCCCTTTAATGCTGAAAGGGGAACGAGGGATTGGGGGGGGCAGAGGGCTCCTGGGAGGGGCTCACAATGCCCATCTTAGGTAAGCCCCCACAGTCCGCCTTGCACCTGTGGCACACCCCCTGAGAGGACCTCGCCGCCAGGAAAGGACCATTTGCTAATTGGGAATACTGGCTGGTCACGCCGCCTGAGAGTCTAGCTTCTCAAAGGTTTTGAAGCGCGGAAGTGTTTTTACCAGTTAGCGAATTGGCGAAAAGGAATGGCTCACACATTTTCGTTATCTAATTTTTAATTTATTTAATCCCATGTCCAGAAGATGACAAAAAAACCTCCAGGATCTCCAGCCAAGCTAGCCTGGGGGGAAATTGCATCCTGACCCCGAAGTGGCGATCAGCACTTCCCTGAGAATGTGAGAAAGGGCCACGAGAACAAAGCACTGAGGCAACCTTTCCTGCCCTCCCTTCTTGTGATCTGCCTATATTCACAGAATCAGCACTGCTGCCAGATGGCCATGTAGCCTCTGTTTAAAAACCTCCAAAGAAGGAGAGCCCACCATCTCCCAAAAGTTCAAAGGGTTTCTCTGCTGTGTGGGTTATCTGGTGTCGTTGAAGAGTGTCACTGCTACTGAATCTCTGTCCACACTCTGAACATTCGAAAGGTTGCTCTGTGTGGGTTCTTTGATGCCGTTGAAGAGTGCTATTGTAACTGAATCTCTTTCCACACAATGAACACTCAAAAGGTTTCTCTCCTGTGTGGGTTCTTTGATGCCGTTGAAGACTGCCACTGTCACTGAATCTTTTCCCACAGTCTGAGCATTCAAAAGGTTTCTCCCCTGTGTGTGTTCTCTGATGCCGCAGAAGAGCGCCACTCTCACTGAATCTCTTTCCACACACTGAGCATTCAAAGGGTTTCTCTCCTGTATGGGTTCTATGGTGCGGTAGAAGATGGCCACTCTGACTGAATCTCTTTCCACACTCTGAGCATTCAAAAGGTTTCTCCCCTGTGTGGGTTCTTTGATGCACTTGAAGATCACCACTCCTACTGAATCTCTTTCCACACTCCAAGCACTCAAAAGGTTTCTCCCCTGTGTGAGTTCTTCGGTGCACTCGAAGAGTGCCATTCTCACTGAATCTCTTTCCACACTCTGAGCATTCAAAAGGTTTCTCCCCTGTGTGGGTTCTCTGATGCTGTTGAAGATTGCCACTGCTACTAAATCTCTTTCCACACTCTGAGCATTCAAAAGGTTTCTCCTCTGTGTGGGTTTTCTGATGCTTGTGAAGATTCCCTCTCTCAGCATGTCTCTTTCCACAATCTGAGCATTCAAAAGGTTTCTCCCCTGTGTGGGTTCTTTGATGCCGTAGAAGATGGCTACTCCTACTGAATTTATTACCACACTCTGAGCATTCAAAAGGCTTTTCCCCCGTGTGGGTACTTTGATGCAGTTGAAGAGTGCCACTCCGACTGAATCTCTTTCCACACTCTGGACATTCAAAAGGTTTCTTTCCCGTGTGGGTTATCTGATGCTCTTGAAGATTGCCACTCTGACTGAATTTTTTCCCACACACTGAGCATTCAAAAGGTTTTTCCCCTGTGTGGGTTCTCTGATGCCGTTGAAGATCACCACTCCCACTGAATGTCTTTCCGCACTCTGAGCATTCAAAAGGTTTCTCCTCTGTGTGGGTTTTCTGATGCTTGTGAAGATTCCCTCTCTCAGCATGTCTCTTTCCACAATCTGAGCATTCAAAAGGTTTCTCCCCTGTGTGGGTTCTTTGATGCCGTAGAAGATGGCTACTCCTACTGAATTTATTACCACACTCTGAGCATTCAAAAGGCTTTTCCCCCGTGTGGGTACTTTGATGCAGTTGAAGAGTGCCACTCCGACTGAATCTCTTTCCACACTCTGGACATTCAAAAGGTTTCTTTCCCGTGTGGGTTATCTGATGCTCTTGAAGATTGCCACTCTGACTGAATTTTTTCCCACACACTGAGCATTCAAAAGGTTTTTCCCCTGTGTGGGTTCTCTGATGCCGTTGAAGATCACCACTCCCACTGAATGTCTTTCCGCACTCTGAGCATTCAAAAGGTTTCTCACCTGTGTGAGTTCTTTGGTGCACTTGAAGAGTGCCACTCTCACTGAATCTCTTTCCACACTCTGGGCATTCAAAAGGCTTCTCCCCTGTGTGAGTTCTTTGGTGCAATTGAAGATGGCCACTCCTACTAAATCTCTTTCCACACACTGTGCATTCAAAAGGTCTCTCTCCTGTGTGGGTTCTTTGATGCTGTTGAAGAGTGCCACTGTCACTGAATCTTTTCCCACACTCTGAGCATTCAAAAGGTTTCTCCCCTGTGTGCCTTCTCTGATGCCGCAGAAGAGAGCCACTCTCACTGAATCTCTTTCCACACTCTGAGCATTCAAAAGGTTTCTCCCCTGTGTGCCTTCTCTGATGCCGCAGAAGAGAGCCACTCTCACTGAATCTCTTTCCACACTCTGAGCATTCAAAAGGTTTCTCCCCTGTGTGCCTTCTCTGATGCCGCAGAAGAGAGCCACTCTCACTGAATCTCTTTCCACACTCTGAGCATTCAAAAGGTTTCTCCCCTGTGTGCCTTCTCTGATGCCGCAGAAGAGAGCCACTCTCACTGAATCTCTTTCCACACTCTGAGCATTCAAAAGGTTTCTCCCCTGTGTGGGTTCTCTGATGCCACTGAAGAGTGGCACTCTGAGTGAATCTCTTTCCACACACTGAGCATTCAAATAATTTATCCCCTCTGTATATTGTTTGGTGCACAAGGAGCTGTGATGTATTTCTGAAGTACTTTCCACACTGAATGGATTTACTTGCCTTCATTATTCTGTACACTGGAAAATGTACATTACGTTTTCTCCCATCTCGCTTCTCAACGAAATGGCTGTCTTTTGTTCGTTTAGGACCGCCTTGATTTCTGACATTTTCTTTCACGTCTTCATTTTTAACTCTATCTGGCCTTTGGTGATGAAGTTCCTCACCCTGTTCATTCAGGTTGGTGTAGCTGAGCCAGTTTGGTGTAGTGGTTAAGTGCTCAGACTCTAATCTGGGAGAACCAGGTGTGATTTCCCACTCCTCCACTTGCACCTGCTGGATGACCTTGGACAAGCCATAGTTCTGGCACAGCTGTTCTTGCAAAAGAGCTGTTTCCGTCAGAGCTCTCTCAGCCCCACCTACCTCACAGTGTGTCTGTTGTGGGGAGGGGAAGGGAAAGGAGTTTGTAAGCTGCTCTGAGACACCTTTGGGTAGTGAAGGGCGGGGTATAAATCCAATCTCTTCTTCTTTTACCTCGCAGGGTGTCTGTTGTGGGGAGGGGAAGGGAAAGGAGTTTGTAAGCTGCTCTGAGACTCCTCTGGGTAGTGAAGGGCAGGGCATAAATACAACCTCTTCTCTTTCTTCTTCATTCCTCAGATCATCCTCTGCTGGAATAAAGAGAGAGATCCTGTTAGCACCTGGGAGGGCTTATAAGGTCCAAGTGCATCTATGTGACTGCAGTAGGAGAGGATTGGCAGCTGATCTTAAGCACCCCTCCACAGCTTTCCCCAGAATATCTAGTATTGAAGGATACATCACCCTCTCAAGAGCCACAGCTGAGCTCTTGCCCAGAAGGAGCTTCGGAGCCTCCAGATTTCATGCCTCCCAGAAGGCCTCCCTCCCTCCTTACCCAGCGGGCCGTATGATTGTACCAAACCAAATCTTGCTCAGAAGGGAATCAGAAATCCCCCATGGCCATTCCTGGCCTGTTCCCTTGACATAACCGTGACGATACTCACTCTCACCCTGTTCATTTGGGAAGGAAATATGGTCTTGGGATCCTCTTGAGGAACTCTCCAGCCTTTCTTTGGATTCAAGGCCGTTGTCTGTCTCCATTATACTTCTGGCTTCTTTCGCAGAGGGACACAGAGAAAGAAAGAAAGAGAGAGAGAGTGGTCATTTTTATATGGGGAAGGAAAGATATCTAAAAGTAAAAATTCTTCCGGAAGGATGGAGCCATGGTCAAGATCAAAGCGTTAGTGTCCTGGTGTGACTTGCCGGTGTTTGTGATTTGAGTCTCTCTGCAGCTAGCATCCTTATCTTTTTCAAGACCAGACTCCAGAATGTGGTCATTCGTTAATTGTGAGAACATAAGAGAAGCCAATGTTGGAGCAGGCCAATGGCCCGTCCAGGCCAACACTCTGTCACACAGTGGCCAAAAAACACCAGGTGCCATCAGGAAGTCCAGCAGTGGGGCCAGGACACTAGGAGCCCTCCCACTGTTGTCCCCCCCCAGGCACCAAGAATACAGAGCATCACTTGCCCCAGACCTAGAGCTCATATAAGAACATAAGAACGCAAGAGAAGCCAATGTTGGATCAGGCCAGTGGCCCATCCAGTCCAACACTCTGTCACACAGTGGCCAAAAAACACCAGGTGCCATCAGGAGGTCCAGCAGTGGGGCCAGGACACTAGGAGCCCTCCCACTGTTTCCCCCCCAAGCACCAAGACAGAGCACCACTTGCCCCAGACCCAGAGTTCATATAAGAACATAAGAACGCAAGAGAAGCCAATGTTGGATCAGGCCAATGGCTCGTCCAGTCCAACACTCTGTCACACAGTGGCCAAAAATACCAGGTGCCATCAGGAGGTCCACCAGAGGGGCCAGGACACTAGGAGCCCTCCCCCTGTTGCCCCCCCCAAGCACCAAGAATACAGAGCATCCCTTGCCCCAGACTGAGAGTCCCTATCTATACCTTGTGGCTAATAGCCACTGATGGACCTCTGCTCCATATGTTTATCTAATTCCCTCTTGAAGCCGTCCATGCTTGTAGCTGCCACCACCTCCTGTGGCAGTGAACAACAGGGCACAGAGGTCGAGGGCACAGAACCCGTATCCAGTTGTATAACCAGAAGGGAGGGAGGGAATAGGAGGGTGCTGACAGTTTCTGGGAAGTTCCGTCAAGCAGGACTCTTGATTGGGTCATTAGGACCATCTGACCCTAGAGAGGCAGAACGTGTAATACGGGTATAGCGCTAGCTTTATGCTCACGCCATGCTAGTACGCCTTGATATTCTCTTGCTTCGTCACGATGAATAGATTGATATAGAGTAAATTAGGCTACCACTGGAATACTTAATATCTGGTTTTTAAAATCCTTAATAAAACTTTATATATTTTTAAAATGGGTCTGCTTTACTTGTGTGCACTCTCCATGTGAACCCACTGAACCGGGTGCCGCTCAGCCACAAAGAGGAGTGACCCAGGGGGTCCCAGACTTCAGTTCCTGATGGGATAATTTCAAGATTACAGGCAAAGCGGATATTGGTAATCCCATCCAGGGGGAATGGAGTGTTGTAAAGGTTGGTAACAGAGAAATGAGGGTCTGGCCCCTTCCAGGGTCTTTCTGAGGGCCTCTCATCCCCCACCTTTTGCCTCAGGCCAGGAGACAGCTTCTCTGGCTTGGGTGATGGCCACAACTCTGGCCTCAGTAGCCCCTGGGCAAGGACACACACATGAACAACACAGGAAGCTTATACGGAATCAGAACCTTGTTCCATTGAGGTCACTTTCATCTACTCAATCCGGCAGTGGCTCTCCAGGGTCTCAGGTAGAGGTCTTTCACATCACCTCCCACCTGATCCTTTTAACTGGAGATGCCGGGGATTGAACCTGGGACCTTCTGCGTGCCAAGCAGAGGCTCTGCCAATGAGCCACAGTCCCTCTTTACAGCTCTCCAGGGTCTCAGGCGGAGGTCTTTTACATCACCTCCGCCCTGGTCCTTTTAACTGGAGATGCCGGGGATTGAACTTGGGACCTTCTGTGTGCCAAGCAGAGGCTCTGCCACTGAGCCACAGTCCCTCTTTACAGCTTTCCAGGGTCTCAGGCGGAGGTCTTTCACATCACCTCCGCCCTGGTCCTTTTAACTGGAGATGCTGGGGATTCAACCTGGGACCTTCTGCATGCCGAGCAGATGCTCGGCCAGTGAGCCACAGCCCCTCCCCAAGGAGTGGGACAGGCCCCCAAACAGTATACTGCTATTTAATATTTTGATTCATGCCTCCTCACAATGGCAGCCATTCGCATCTTTGGCACCTACGAAAAATCCTTACCCAGAAAGGCCACATTCCCACAGTTCTCCAGCATGACTTCCCGGTAGAGAGCTCTTTGTCCCGGATCCAGCAGGGCCCACTCTGCCTCAGTAAAATAGATGGACACCTCCTCAAAGGAAAAGGGACCCTGAAAGAAAAAAACATTCCCTCATCAGAGATCATGTCAGGAAGAGATTGCCCACTGGAAGGGAGTAGTCTGGGAGGGGACAGGATGTCAGGCTTGGGACGGATAAAGGGAACGGCATTCAGAGGAGCTCTTGTCCAGACACCTTGTAGAAACATCAGGAGCAAAAGCCCCCCTGAGAAAGGGGGGGGGGGCCCAGGCCCCCCCCCCCCCGCTCATCTCTCCTACCTGGACTGGAGGGGCAGCAGCCGTTTCCACACCTCTGAAAAGACGTTGGCTCAACAGCATCTCTTCACTGCCTGTTCCTGACACAAAGGAGGAAAGAAGGATGTTTGCTTGCTTGTTCCTTGTTTCATGCACCCCTTCCCAGGGTTGTGAGACCTTGTCCTGTGTACACTCAACACATTTTTACTAAACTCTGGGAGAGGCAGAAGAGAAGTACCTGGGATGAGCATCCGGGATTATAAATGGTGCCTACATATTTCAGACTTCTGTGAGACCTGTGTCTGGCCGGGGGGGGGGGGAGAGGGGGGGGGAAATCACATAACATGACCCTTCACCGTCACATTCGGCCCAGGCATGACTTGAGCACGTCTGGAGAGTTTTCAGAGCTTAATGAGTTTTCAGAGGGTCTCTTGACATGCTAACTTCACAGACCGAGGTAATAACAAAAAAACTGTGCAGGAGTTTGCGCTAATAAATTTGAAATATTAATCAAGAAGATTTCAGACAAAAGAGTGTATACATGTGGTGTCTCTCTGTTTCATTTCAACCGGTTCATCATCAACGATTTCATGAATCTCTCAGGATTGTCTAATACATTGTAGAAACAGTTTCTAGAAAAGCCTTTCCATGGGCGAACAAAGTTGAAATGAAATAAGAGAGACACCACGTGTATACATCATTGTTCAGAAGAAGACCTGTATCGAAATGGGAGAACATTCCGGAGATCACCGTCTTCACCTGCGTTTGATATGTTATGCAAATATTGTGCACTCTTTTGTATGAAATCTTTTTGATTAGTATTTCAAATTTATTAGCGCAAACTCCTGCACAGTTTTTTTGTTACTACTTCGGTCTGTTCAGGGACTGTGGCCATCAGCTTTAAACATGCTAACTTCACAGCCAGATGCAACATCAACATGATACCAGATAAAAACATAAGAGAAGCCAATGTTGGATCAGGCCAGTGGCCCATCCAGTCCAACACTCTGGGTCACACCGTGGCCAAAAATACCAGGTGCCATCAGGAGGTCCGCCAGCGAGGCCAGGACACTAGAAGCCCTCCCCCTGTTACCCCCCCAAAGCACCAAGAATACAGAGCATCACTTGCCCCAGCCTGAGAGTCCCTATCTATACTTTGTGGCCAATAGCCACTGATGGACCTCTGCTCCGTATGCTTATCTAATTCCCTCTTGAAGCCGTCCATGGTTGTAGCTGCCACCACCTCCTGTGGCAGTGAATTCCATGTGTTAATCACTCTTTGGGTGAAGAAGTACTTCTTTCTATCCGTTCTAACCCGACTGCTCAGCAATTTCATTGAGTGCCCACAAGTTCTTGTATTGTGAGAAAGGGAGAAAAGGACTTCTTTCTCTAGCTGCTCTATCCCATGCATAATCTTGTAAACCTAGATCATGTCACCCCTCAGTCATCATTAGAGGTGTGCAAAAAAAAAAAATTCGGTAAAATTTGGATTCGGATATATTGAACCCGAATTTTTTGGGGATTCCTGAAAAAACCTGAATACCTATACCAGTAAAGCATAGATATCCGAAAATT